ACACCTTCAGGTTAAGACCCTGTGTTATATTTGTTACATTAGAATCCTTGAACATAAGAATACTCTTTGAGCACACATACCATTGCACGCACACAATGGTCATCGGGTCTCACCAGGTGTCTCTGAGTACTACATCACTGAGTCATTCACCTTGAATATGAGCGCAAGGCTTTTCTACCCTGAACAGAAGCCAATCAATCAGACTCTACCTCTGCCAGATTTGCTAGTTTACAGGCAGACTGATAACTGGCAAATCCGGGACATGGTGTCAGTTGGTGTGTGTGTGTGTGTGTGTGTGTGTGTGTGTGTGTGTGTGTGTGTGTGTGTGTGTGTAAAGGCATGGTGTAGCGGGGGTGTTCGGTTTTAAATTTAATGGCAGGGAATCCCTCGCTGTAACGCAGCAGAAACAGAGCAATGGAAGAAAGCGCTGAAGTAACATTGGTGCACATGGCGCTTTCACACCCACACAAAACATAAAAAATTCAGTAAGACCGCTACACCACAAGACACAGGTGAACTGGGGCTCCATACACAAACACATGCAGTACCATGGAGGCGCAAAGACACCAAAACTTCTGAAAACTGAATGGGCTGAATGCCAACATTCTACTTTTTTAATAATATGTTACTAAATGTAAACATGATTTTCTACAATTAATTAGTTTTATTTAATAGGATGTTGATAAAAAAAATAAAATGAAAGAACAAATCATAAACAAAACATCCTTTTACACATGCAATACTCTTTCTTACAAACGCATTTCAGTCACCTCAGGCCCAGAAAAGCGTTGTGAATCGATGCCCAGCCTTAAGCAAGTAAACAACCACAAACACTCACTCACACTCATACTAGAACTGGCTCTTACTGCTTATTGAATCAGCAAATAGTGTGTCAGCTAACTGGTAGTGACGAGTCTAGATAAAGGGCCGCACAAACAGGTGAAAGTCATCACAATGTCCCACATTCATATCTATAATTTCACCACAGCAGGATGAACTACAGCAGTTACAGTCACAAAGCACACAATGCCCTAAATTATAGTGATTAATGCTTCAAGGAGTTGCAGGTATAGTGCTGCCTGGTAAGTGGACACAGGAAAATTAGCTAAAGTGTAGCTTTTGCCACAGTTATTACTGATTAGATTATCTGCATTACATTGAGAAATATGATCGGCATCGTGGGGCTGTGACAGTTTTACACTGACACTGGCTTTTCTGCGGGAAGTTGCTCTTAAAGATGCAATTAAACTCTAATTTTGTCATAGAATGTAGTGCCTTTTGTCACTGACGAGGTTAAGAAGAATGCGCATCTCCCATCTGCTGCATCTCAAGGCCTTTTACCCTCTGAAGTGGTGATGGATGGATGCAGACAGTTTATCTGCTGTCTGTACGTCTGTCTTCGCTTGACTCGGTAACAATCAGTAACACAAAGCAACCACTATCATATACTGTAGCGAGCCTACTGTACTTGTATGCAATTAGGTCGATAAGGCTATAAGCCAAACCTTTCCCTGGCAAAATAACAAGCAAACAAATAAAATATTTGCACAGCCTTAAAAATTTGTAGTTCATTTTTGCCTACGTGTATCAGTTACTGAGTCTTTCGGATGAGATCTTTCCGTTTAACCTGACACCCGACACCTTTAGAGTAAAATAAGGGGCAAATAAAGCTTTTGGTTCACATTTCTAATATAAAAAATGCAGAATCAATATAGAACTATTTCCTGAGGGATACTATGCAGTATACTATATCAAAGGCTGGGCACAGCCGTATCGTTTGTGAGAAGAATCGAACAATAGTACAAACTGATATCAGAGCCTGGCCACAGAGTGCACTCCCAGATATGATGGAGCTGGGAGAGATAGAAGGGAGACAGATACATCAGGGCTACTCCCGTGCAGAGACAGATCCACTCCTTTTGCCTGCTGCTCCTCCTGTTGATCTCTGTTTGGCAGCGTGCACTGCAGTTGAGCTGGTCGATCAATAGCACACACTGAAGCCATTCTCACCCAGGATAAACACAACCCCGCCTTTGGATGGGCAGCACTGCTGCTGATTCTGTTACTTACAAGGAAATTAGACCGAGTCACACAAGCTGCTTGAAAATGCCCAGGCTTCCTTCTCTTAACTACTGTTTGTTTTCGCATTTGTGTTAGATTATAGTGCACACAGCTTAAGATAACACTTGCAAACTGAAGGGAAATATTCCTTTTAGTGGATCTACAATCTCTACTGCTCTGGGCTGCTGGTCTAAAAACATATTCTCCCTTATCTTTATTGCTTATCCCTGACTCGAAAACATAATTGCAATTACTAGAGCTCCCTTATTAAATTCCTAAGCTTCCATGATCGCATGTATAAAAACGAGCATCAGTATTCAGGTGACTCACCATTAGATTAATGGGGCACCTTTTCAAAGCTTTCTGCCTATTTCAGTCACATTATTTCCAACATCTGGAGGCTTGTAGGGTCTTCTGTCTTGATGTGAGTGTTGAAATAGGATCCCAGTCTCTTCTCCTGCTACACACTGTGTCAAGAAAAAACAGCCAGAGCTGCTGGATTTGCTGTTTCTGCTGTATTCAGTTCACACCTGCCTTCCTAACTGTGTCATCTTGTACTCTTTTTTGCATATTCTAGATATTTTTAAGAAGAATTTACATTTAGTTTTTTTTTAAAAAGGGGGCCTGGGAAAGGCGCAGCATGGACCCTGTTTGCAACAGGGTTCTGGTAGCCCTGTAAAGGCTGTGCTTGAGTGTTTTAGAAGAGTGAGTGACCACCGTGTCCAGACCCATGCTGTGCCATAAATATGTTTAAGAGCTGGATGTGCTAAGTGAGACATGAATATTTAACAGCAAAGAAAGTCTGTGTTTATTTTTACCTCGGCACGTGATTGATGCTACACACTAGGACGCGTAAGCGTGCACTGCAACATACCCGAATACATTTAAGCAAACAAGTGATTGTTTACCCGAGCTTTTTGGTTTTTTTCCCCCAGTGCCAACCAGTGTGTCAACACGACAGCTACGGGTTTATCCAGGACTATCCTCACCTGAAAACTCCCATCACTGCCACACACCCTCGCCTATGCATTTGCCCCTCCCTCTCCCCCTCTCTCCCTCGCCATCCGCCCATCTCTTCTCCTCCCCGCCTGCATTCTTCCTGCTCTCTCGTTATCCCCTTCCACTCTATGCCTATTATTCATGCAAATAACAATAAACTGTGCAAATGTCCCAAACAATGGCATTATCCCTTCTCTCTTTCTCCAAGCTATGTCCCTATAAATAAGCAGTCTCACCGCGCTTCCCTCTCCCACCTCTCTCTCTCTCTCTCCTCTCCATCCCTCTGCCTCCTACTCACACATATACATACTGCCAAACAGCATCATAAATCATGGGATGGGAGGAGGGAAGAAGGGGAGCAAGGAGGTGGGGGATGCAGCCACACACACAGTAGCACATTTTAACACATATTGCTTTTGACATCTAGGCGGTATACTGTGCATACTGCCTCTGTGACCACACGTCCAGAGCTTGCCTTGAGACTGCACAGAAACAGAGGCAAGCAGCTCCCGTGCACAAACACATACAAAGACTGCTCCTAGTCTACACAAACCCTTTGCTCCTGTATGGACCCGCATCCTCCAGCATCTCCGCTGCACCCCTGCACCCCTCACCCCAACCTCCCTCTAGCCCGCAGTAAGAGAAGTGGAGCTTACTCAGTCTCCTGGAGCCGATGCACCCCATGGTGTATTCACAAAGGCCCTGGACACAAGCGTAAAAGTGTTACCCAGACACGGCGCATTCTCCTTCTCCTTCCTCCTGCGACTCTCTCTTTCTCTCAGCTCTGGCTTCTTTTCTCTCGCTTCTCCGCTGCCGTCTCTTTTTCTCTCTCCCTCCTGCGCTTGCTCGATCACTCTCTCTCCCTCACCCCCTCTCTCTCCCTCTCTCTCTCCCTGCTGCTCTCTCTCCAGTGCAGTGTCTTAGAAGAGATCCGGTTAGTAAGTCAGTATGCCTGAGGGGAAAAGATTAGGACTAAATAAAGACGTGATGCATTACTGTAATTATTTCAAAACATGTATCATATATTTTTTTATTATAGTTATCAATAATAAGGATATCAACATATTTTATTACCTGTAACATTTGATTTTTAATGTTTAATTTAAGTGGCAGGAGTTCTGACTTTTCACGCAAATAATTTAACCTAAAGAGTGTGACGATGACAAAATATCTGAATATCCACCACATGCAGTCGTTTAAAGACAGGTCAAACAACAATTGGACTGAGTATGTGTGCAGTGACGTGCCATCACTAAGATCAATAGCTGTGTTGAGAGTGTCGGTCTGCCATTGTTGTAGATATCACTGCACTGCTGTAATATTGTTGAGCTAAAATGGGGGATTCTCTCTCTGTCTCCCTCTCCCGTGTGCGTTCAGCCTAACAATGCACTGCAGCGGTTTCCTCGCTCCTCTCCTCCCCTCGCCATCTCCCTCTCAATCACCCAACACCTCCTCCCTCTTTGCACCCCCCTCTCCCCAACCTCCCCAACACTCATCGCTCAAAAAACATTCTCATACACCAACATGAAACAATCCTGAGGAGAGAGGAAAAAAGCAGCAGAGGGTTTTCCTTCACAGTCAAACTGCTGCTGAGTCTCCACCTCCTCCCTCTGTCATCCCTCACTATTGATCCGCCCACAGTCATCTCTGCGCCTATTTCTTCTGTTCACTAAGGATTACATTCCCCCCTTTTTTGCCTTTTTTTTTTTTATCCCCTTTTCACCTTGCCTGCTACACTTCTCTATTCTGGTAAAAAAAAGCAAAAACAAAAACCTGTCTCCTTAATCTACAGCTCTTTCTGCGTCTCTCATTAGACCTGTGCCTCTTTCCATTAAGTCTGTGTAATTAATCACGTTTTACGTTCAGCCACAGTTTTGCTTTCTAAAGAGGGTGAAAAGAAGATAATGGAGATAAAATGGTTATTGTGACACAACCTGTTTCACAGTTTCTTCACAGCATGTGCCTTTTGGCCCTTCCCTAAAAGCCCTACATCACTCCTCCCTAAACTAAACTTAGCGCTCAAAGAAGACCTCGTTATCAACCAAAACAATTATCATTATGACTTCTGCACCCTCCGTCTACTATATCTATAACGCCATCATACCAAAACCTTTCCTCTCATCGGTTTTCTATGAAATCGTGCATTTATTTTTACTTTGATGTGTGCTGTTTCTAAGCAGTCTGGAGACAGGTTTATTTGTGGTCATTTCTTTGTTGACTTTGAACTCTCTGGGTAAAGGGCAGAGAGAGAGAGTGAGAGTGAGAGAGGGAAAAGAGCTGGGCAGATGGATGGAAGGAAGAACAGAAAGCAGGAAAAAAGGCGCAGATGGAGGGAGTGATGAGAAGCAAGGCAGGCAGAGAACAGTGGAGTCATGTGCGGGAGAGGTGTGGAGAGGATGCTGTGTGAAATAAAAATTAGCACTCCAGAATGGATGAAAGAAAATGACGGTCACTTGGAAATATACAGTCATGGTTGTGATGCTGCAAAAAAAAAAAAAGAAAAAAAAGGGGGGGGGTTGCCAGACATTAGAAATCATACATAATCCAGCCAATCCCTGCACTCTGGATTTCCATGTGTATTAGCTCTGTTTGTCAACTCCCACAGGGGTTTCTGCAGGGGTCAGCTTCACTTCTATAACATGAACCTGAACCCTCTAACCCTGTTTGCAGCTGACTGGCTGACGCTGTTGTTTTAAATCTCTGTCTCAGTTCTCACTCCATCTGCCCATCACTGCATGTCAGTCAGTGGAAGTCTCTAAAATCCTCAGCTAATCTAGGCGTATCTATCCTGCTTTACCTGCATTTCCCTGTCAATAGGATTCCTGTTTTATACTCCTTTTCTCCTACAACACTTTGTACATTGTGCTTCTATAAGGGTTAATTGATTGACTATTTTGAAAATCGATTAACCGTTAAAGAGACGTAGAACCCACAATCCCAGTTCATGAGACGCCGCTTTTAAATCTCTCACATAACAAATTATTCCTGTTGTTGTTTTCAGCTGAACAAAAGAAGATATCATAACACATTTCTCACTGCTTTCTTTTTCTTTTTGTTTGTAGAGCAAAGATTAACCGAGGATAATATTTTCACATTAATCAATAATGGAAAATAATTTTAGCAGCAGCCTTTTCAGGCAGTCTGTGACAACATGGTGATCTATGATACCGCCTAGCAATGTGAGACAAGGTCAGCCATAGATGGAGGAAATTCCTGACACTAATCTCACGCATGATGCATAGGCCACTCACAAATGTGACTGCCTCTCATCGTCGTCGCCGTCTCATTACTTATTCTCTCACACGCAGAGACTGCAAAAAAAAAGATACCGTGACGTAAAACGGCCTCGCAACACATGACACGGACGACTTCTATCATGTTCCTGTCACCGCATCTCTTGTTTTCTTATCTCGGGTGATGATGCTGCATTGAATTTAGATGCAGTGGCTCCTGTTTAATGTTGCCTTGGGGACTCACACCCAGATAATTTCTGTAATCAATGATTTTCATGTACCTGTCACTATCTGTCTATCAGCTCCTGGCTGCTATGTAGGTTACACCTCAAGGATAATGAATACCAGCTTCAATACTGTCTTGTTCAGACAATCTAAAGGCGTTCTGGCTGATGCACAGGAATGCCTGCTCCAGTCTTTCTAAAGGTAGTATTAAAAACTAGCTCAGACTGGTTAAACTCCTTTGAGAAAGGCCCTTTTTTCTCCACCCTCTGCCACCTTTAGTCGGTGACTGTCTACTGTTTTGTCTGGCTTTTTTGTGATGAATCAAACTGCTAGAGTGTGTCATTATATGTGTTAATTGGAACCACATGTTACACACTTGCCTTCGCTAAGTTAGCCATAAGGAGAAAGGGGATGAGAGGAGGGGTGGCATCTGGCTGAAACTGGCGAAAGAGAACTGATGCGAAAGGCAAGGAGAGAAAAGAAGATGAAGGGGGAATGAAAAAAAAAAGGGAGGGAATTACTAAATTGTTTGTTTTTGAGGAGGCAAGGGGTGTAGGAGGTGGGTGGGAACAAGGGAGCAATATAAATGTTGTTATGAGAAGAGGCAGTCTCTGATAAGACATTCTCTAATGACCGAGTTTATGTCATTAGCTTTGTTTTAGCCAGTGGGAGAATAGAGTTTATGTGTATTATTAGCTGGCGCACTGAGCCACAGTTTCTAGCTTGGATTCTTCAGCACACATATTTTTGGGCTGTTTTATATTTGTGTGTGGGTGGTATAGAGTCTCTCTGTGCATGACTTGTGCGTATATGTGTTTATGCAGCCGTTACACCAGGAAAAACCTTGCGTATGAGGAGTTCCCAACTCTCCTCTATTATTTACAATTCTCTTCTCCCGCAATTACCCTACATTCTCTCTCGCTCCAGCCCTCCTCGTCTAGACCACCACCACCATGCAGCATGTTCGCCCTTAGATACGTTTCTGCGTTCAGCTCGTTTCTTTCAGCTTCTCAGCATCTCTAAGAGTCACGTCTGAATTTCCGGGTTTCCACCTTACACACCTCTGTCTTTTACACATCTCTAGCTCGAGCCGATTTGCTTGCTGTCAGAGAACGTGGGGGAATCTTCTAACCTCAAGCCATTTGATTCTGGGCTGTGTGCAGCACAGTAATGAATATCAGTCTGACACCTGCTGGGGGGATTAGAACACTGCAGTCTAACCCTGGCTTTGATTGGAAGCCAGTTTGGCAGCGAAGAGACTTTTCCTCTCAGTGCTGAGTGACGAGGACATGTTTTGCCACAAATATGCAGGTTCTCATCTTGGCTGATGTGCACCTGGAATTTATGCTTTGCAGATTTATGTGCATGCCATTTGCTTTGCATATCTATTGCAGGCTACACTTTGTGTTTATACTGGATTTTCACATGAAAGATTCTTCGTCGGCTTTTTCTCACACTCCAGTCTAAATTTATTTAGCCTGCTTTCAGGCTGGCAACCTGATAAACAAAGTAAAGACAACATCTGTAGAACCTTTGCTGACATGTATTTGCAGGATAATTATCTTGGTCTGTATTAGTGTTTAGCTATCTGTTCAATAAACTGGCAACTGATTGTATAGAAGGTGAAGAATGCATGCATTACTCTAATGCTGAAGCTGATAGTGAGTATACTGGGTAACTTGTGCCTTATCTTATCTTAGTTATAACAGAACCATTCACTCTCTTCCACTTATCCAATTCAGGGTCGTGGAGGTGCTGCAGGCCATATCGTAGAGACCATAGAGACGTGGGGTACAGCCTTGACAGGACGTCAGTCGCTTGCAGCAATAACACAGAAAGACAGACAACCATTCAGTTTTGCATTCACAAACACAGTCAATTTACAATCACCAGTTAACCTAACATGCATGTCTTTGGACTGTGGGAGGAACTGGAGTACCCAGAGATAACAGGAAAACATGCAAACTCCACAGAGAAAAATGCAGCCTGGATTCAAACCCAGGACCTTCTTGCTTTGAGGATACAGGGCTTACCGATTCTTAATGTGAAAAGCAGCTGAAACCACTGTTTGCTGAATTTAAAAGTGGAAGTTAGCCTTATTTCTTACAAGTTCTTTAAAGGGGTCACTGGATAACCTGAGTTGGATTAAATGTTACCTAATTACCTTATTAATGTTAAAAAAGCAAGGGCACAAAATTAAAAAGCTAAAGATGCATTTATGTACAAGATAAGTTTTTATGGATCATTTAATTTATTCTGGATGAGCAGTTCAAAGTTAAAAACATTTCAATCGCCTTGCATACAAATGGTTTCCCACGTTCTCAAGAAATTATTAAAAGAGAGGGGGGGGGAGAGAGAGAGAGAGAGAGAGAGAGAGAGAGAGATGGAGCGACCATGCCTCTGTATGGACAGGAAATTATTAGGATTTTAATCATAAGCACTGAGGTAT